CCGGCTGATGAAGATACAGAGTTGGGAGCCAGCAGGTAATGTGGTGGTTAAGGGCACTGGACTCCACCATAGCCAACTGTGGTTTGAGTACTGGACCTGGTGGCTTGCTTTCTCACTTTCTCCCTCTCTCTCTTTCTCTCCCTGCCCCTTTCTGGTCAAATTAAAATAAATAAATAAATAAATAAATAAATAAATAAATAAATAATCGATAAAATAATTCTTAAAAAAAAATTTGGCATCAGCCACCATCCTGTCCTGAGATGCTTGTGTTCTAGAACCCATCCTAAGAGCTGTTAAAGTGCTCTTGACTAAGCATTCAGAAGCACAGGTGAGGAAACAGTGATTCTACCTTAAAAATGGAGACGTATTGCAACGTAAATGTCAGGATTACAGTGAGGATGATATGGGGCTTTGGGCTAAAGCTCAGAGAGGTGCAAGCCATGCTGACCTCAGGAAGCACTGTCAGGTTCAGCTTAGCAGGAACTTAGAAGAGGATGCAGTAGAGATAGCTGGAGAAACCAGCTGGAGGGCATGTGGCTCACCCAAGGCTGGTCATACTCAGTCACTCAGGGACTTCTTAAAACTTGTCTTTAGCCCACACTTGAGTGTAGTGGCCACTTGCTGAGCTGAAGTGGCCTTGGCCTTCTCTCACATTTCATGTTCCCACACTTACAGACTCTGTATCTTAACCTTTGATTTTTACAAAAGAGCACAGGCCTTCAAGAGGCCACTCAAGAATATGTAATACCCATGCCCTCTACCTGACTTCAGATCACCCTCTCACCTCTACCAAAAACCCTCAAGGGTGAGAATGGGCCACTGGGTCCTCAGCAGCCCAGATGGGCCTCATCAGATGCCTGGTAGCACTTCGGCCATCATTGTCTCACTACTGAGAATTATGCTTGCTATACAAAGCACCCGGTCAGCATGTGAGAGAGCGATTTGGAAAGTGTCCCTGGAAACCAAACCATGAAGAATGGCTTCTTTTGGAATCTGGACATCTTCAGTAGGTAGCCTTCTGGCTGCTCTTAACAACAAGTTCTAGAGATGTGGTTGCGAAGAGCATGCCCCTGAAGCTGAAGCCTTATAAGCCCAAATATTGCTTGGGCTGCTGACTTGGGAAGAGGTGGATATCATTTCTTTGGGATTTTATTTTGGGGGTTGGGGGGGATCTTTGCTATAGGGCCTGTGTGCTCACCAGGAACACAGAGAGAAGGTGAGAAATCACCCCCGAGGAAGCATGGCCACACCACAATCCCTTCTCCCCATTCTCCTCTCAGGATTTTGAGCATGTATGTATATGCACCCGGTGTGAGTTTTAAGCCCCTGGGTCCAGGACTTGAACTACAATCGGCCATGTGGGAGTCCAGTGCCATAATCACTATGTAACTTGCTGGTCCCACTTCTCTGTGATCTTACTAAGGTCACATTGGGCTAGCCATGTGGTGAGAAGTTCTCTATGAGGTATTATGACTGTGTGATTAACAATCACTCTAAAGCATCTTCTGTTTAAAAGAGGAGGGACAAGGAGCTGAGTTGGAAAAGTATTTAACATATGATGCTGAGCAAGAGACCACCAAGAAGAGACAGTTTAAAAAATAATGAAGGGCTGGGACCAGCAGTTAGTGTAATGGCTACGTCGCTGGACTCCCACGTAGTCAACCACGGTTTGAGTCCTGGACCCGGTGGCTTAAACTCACACCAGGCGCGTGTGCATGCATGCTTAAGATCCCAAGAGGAGAATGGAGGAGAAGGGATTGTGGCATGGCCATCCTCCCTGGGGGGTGATTTCTCGCTTTCTGTCTCTCTGTCTCTCTCTGTCTGTCTGGTGAGCGCACGCACCCTATAGCAAAAACCTCTCCCAAAAAAAGAAAAAATAAATTAAAAATAATAGTAATGAAGGGACCAGCGGATGGCATAATGGTTACATCACTGGACTCCCATATAGTCAACCATGGTTCAAGTCCCAGACGTGGCAACTTAAAATTCACACCGGGCACGTGTGCGTGCATGCCCAAGATCTCGAGAGGAGAATGGAGAAGGGATTGCGGCTTGGCCATCCTCCCTGGTGGGGGGTGATTTCTCACTTTCTGTCTCTCTGTCTCTCTCCATCTCTCCAGCGAGCTCACAAGTACATACATACATACTAATAGAAATGGAGCCAGGAGGAGGAACCAGTGAAGGTGACTGAGGAGGAGCAGCCAGGAAGGTGGGAGGGCAATAGGGAGAAAGTGTGTCCCAGAGGCCAAATGAAGCAAGTGCTCTGATGAGCAAGAGAGAGTTCTCCAGGTCAAACAACAAAATGAAGGCTGAGAACGGGCCACAGGGACCTGTAACCTAGGTTTTGAAGGAGTTCTGGGGGTTACAGAGGGAGCAGGAGGTGAGTGAGTACAGGACCAGCTCTGTAGCTAAGTGGTTAACGAGAGACAAATCCCATATGACCAATAGTGGTTTGAATCCGAGCCCCAGTGGCTTGGAAAATGTACCAGGTACATGTGTATGCATGCCCCAAATCCCAACAGAATGGAAAAGTGAAGGAGAAAGGATTGCAAGGCACCCTCATCTCCTATTGCAAATAGAACCTAATATCCTGCTTAAGTTGTCCCTATTCCCTAGAAAAAGAAAAGGAAAAGGCCATCCTCAAGTCTGCACCTCAAGCTAGCTCAGTTCTTCCCTCTCCGTCATC